CGCACAGCCCTAATCCAGGGTATATTTCTATTATACACACACACACTCTCTCACACACACACACACATATACACACACACACACACACACACACACACACACACACACACACACACACACACACTAACCCTTGTTCTCATCTAACTCTGAGAAAGAAAGTAAATATAATTACATAAATATCTCCTCTGAGACAGTCATGATGTGCAATTAAATACAGGTTTTTTTCAGTGAATACTGGTGGTGACTTCTTTCAGCCACAAACAGGAACGTGCTCAGTGGACTTGTTAAATTGCTATTCTAACAGTGCTTGTTTAGAGCTGCAGTTACGGTATGTTGTCTAATGTTATAAAATGTTGGACAATACACTAAGTAGTAACTTCTTTTTGACAACATGTTCACTCAAAACTGAATCAATGTCTGTTAAAAAGTTAAAAAAAAAAGAAAAAAAAAAGCCAGTGGCTCATAAAAACCACTGGCTAGCTGAGCATGTACTGGCTGGAGCTGCTCCCTTAAAAGGCTTTTATTCTAATTAAAAGCAATGATTTGTCTCAGATTCAATTTGCTAGAGAAGAGCTGTCAGATGCTGATCCTGTTGTACTAGACTAATTCCCCTGGATACAAATACTAAACACTGATTGTATAATCAACAGGAAATTCAAAATATGAGACAGTACACAATTATGCATTTCATAGGTTTTGGTTTGGAGGGATCATACATAGCAAGGCTCTTATGAGCCAAACCAAAGTTTCTAACCGGTTACAGTGTGGTGTGAAAACAAAGCATGACACGCTACAGTTGGGGAAGTGGGGGGGTATGACGCTTGAGATGAGCGAGTGTAACATAGGGACAGCTGCTCCCAGAGAAAACCTGCACAGGGACAGTGTGACAGTGACTGTTGGAAAAACAGATGAATCTATTTAGTCATTTAGTCATCCTGTCAACCCAAAGTTGAGGGGCCTGCACTACATGGTGTCAGTATTAACTGTAATCCTGCTGAGGCTCTGAAAACTTAAGCTATACACACCCAACCCTCTGCAGAAACCACCACCACAATAAACCTTCCACTGCTATTAAAACTAAACTCACACACACGCCCATTCAGCTATCTTAGTGAGGACCTTTATTGAAATAATGGTTTCCCTAGCCCCTTACCCTAACCCAGACCTTCCCAAAGTGTGGGGCCCGCCCCCTGGGGGGGCAAAGCCATTGCAAGGGGGGTGCGGAATGAAAAGGAGGAGAAAAAAAAACACTTGGACACTGCTAGCACGGGGCGCCCACAGAAACGCAAAGCAGGAGATGAAGCATAGCTGAATATGTTTCCAAACCAACTTCATTCTAAGCCAAAGACTAGAAAATATGGTGAAGCATATCTTCCCTTTGGTTTCACCTGCACAAGTGCCAAGGTAGGTCTCCCCTACAGAATTGGTTTTCCCTGCATCGAGAGCAGCGCTGGGCTCTTCAAATCATGGACAAACAGCATCCCACAGTTGTTTATGTTTTTAAACCTGTTTTGCACAGAGAGGCATTGCTTGAAAAATGTATTGATAGCAATGAAAAAACAAAAAAACTGCACGTAAAATAATCACATCGTGACGCCTCTGCCTTTGTAAATGGAGGGACAGTAACTGCGTGTTTAAATGTAAGTGTGTAAAACCTGAAGATAGTCAGATTAACAGCATTTTGTCTCGATCTGCCATTCTGCAATTCATCTCATGTAAACAATAACGTGGCGCACAGCACGACATGAAAAAGGCACATACCTTTGACGTTGCGTGACCAACTCTGTATTCCTCGTCCACACGTAAACGCAAAAAAGGAGTTTGAAAAAAATCTCAGTTTTCGGTGATTCGTAACGACATTTACGTGTGGACGAACACGTTTTGTAGCAAGTAAGTCCTAAAACTGTCGGCTGACTCATTTGGAAAGTGTTTATTGAGACCGCTGCTTCTCATAACTTAAATGAGAAGCGGGATCACTTTCCCCACAGACTTCTATACAACTGGATTTCCTTTTGCAACCACCTAAGCTGGCCTCCTACTGGTGTTTAGAGAGAATGCACATCCAGACTGCCAAAGAGGCTTATAACCAAATTGAGAGTTTCATTATGTCCGTGCTTTCATTGTGAGGTAAAAGTAAAAAAGAAAAAAAAAAAACTAGCAATGTGAGAAATATTCCACTACGAAACAGCTCTACACTTTGACTCTATGAGTCAACCGTCACACACAGATCCAGACTAGTCACTGAATATAACGTTTGGTCGTCTTCTTGGGACACCTACTTCACAGCCTGTCTCCCTGACATGCCCGGTTATATGGAACTTGGCCTTCAACTTGGAAATGGTATTAGGGCTCACTCTAGTAATTCTGAAACTTGGTTTTGTAGAACATCAGCTTGAAGTTGCTCTATGGCACAGACCCTATCGAGATCAGTCACATGTGGCATGCTTGGAACACACACCAAGTGACGGCTGTAGCAGGGTCCTTGCTCACAGTTGCTGCTAATCAGGGACTTGACCGTCATCACCAACCAGCTCAACCAACTGATGCCTTTTTCCTTACAAACGTGTAACTATTAAGAGGAGAAACTTTCCAACAGTATAAGATTTATTACCAAGATGCACAGTTACAACAAAGAAGTCATCGACTTTTTGTGCAAAGTTTATACATTTTTAGCAGTCTGTGTTACCTTCAATCCAAACTCCACAGACAGGCTGTGGATACCTGTGTGTATTTGCTTTTGTTCCGTCGGTGTAACCCCAAACCATTTTTAATGTTTCCGACTTATCCATGTGTAACTTCAGTCAGCGTGTATTGTGCTCTGTTCTCTTTTGGTAGTTGTACTGTGGCTTAAAGTCTACAGTGTACACACCAACAGCTGTTGCTGCTTTGCCGCTTTCCCTCTTGTCTGACTTATGTTTTATCAAATTCTCCATGTTTCCTAATATCTGCTATCAACTGATTAAGTAGAAGGTTATAACAAAATGCAAAAGACTGAAAGCAAAACCCAACTCATAACAAAGCTACAACGCCTTGTTTCAGACTGTAAACGCCTTAAAAAACATAAAAACGAAATCACAAGCACTATATTTTCATGTTATTGACTCAAAAAGTAACAAAGCATGTGAGCATCAATAATTCAGTTGCGTTGACTCTTAACATCTTTTAGGTCTTGGTCTAAAATACAAAGGGTTAAGCTAGAACTGAAGTGATGTGCAGCATCAGATAGAGAACTCCCCGTCAGTGCAGCGTGCTGTACTGATGGTGACACAGACAAAGCCTCGAGTCGGCGTTTCAGCATTTCCTGATAATTAAAGACCATCTGAGTACAACTTGAATGTTAATGCTTCATTATTTTCAGAGTGGCCCCTCGCTTTAAGTGATTGGCCGATTTTAAACTGCTGATAGGAGCAGCCCTTGTCTGATCTCTTTAAGTGCAAAGCTTGCAAATAAATCTCCCCTTACACAGTTACAGTAGAACAAGTGCCAAAAGCAGGCCAGTTTTCCACTCGGAGCCTGCATTAAGAGAATAGGCGAGAGTGAATCCGATTAGTAATGAAAGATGGCTGCTGGAGATGGCCCGAGAGAGGCAGCTGATCTTCGTGAGTCAGCCACGACCAGGATTGAGAATAGCACAATATAAATGCTGATTTCTGCCATTAAAACCTACATAAAAAAATGATTGCATTAACGCTCTCTAACAAAGACAGCTGGAGTGGAAATTTGGGAGAATGCTTTGTCGATGATTTGTTAAATAACTGCACAAGCACTGAGTTTTTTTGCCCCCCCCCCGGAGCCCCTGTGCCAACCGGTACATTGTACTTATTGAGAGAGTGACTCTACCCTAAGTCAGCATCCATCAGGGCACTTGGCAACAGTAGTGCCGTAGCTCCTGGCATAGTCACCCACTCTTACACTGCTGAAGGTGGGCGCAGAGCCACAGCGGTGTCGAAGAATCCAGCTAACTCATAAAACAAGTAATAAAGTGAAGGAGAAAGATATAGTGTGTTTGACAGCTGAGGAAAATACAGCTGCCGACTGGCAGGTAGACATCGTGATGAGGAATTACCTGAAAAGCTGCCAAGAAGCAGCAAGTTGCCTTTGATATGAAATCAGTAGGAATAATGGAGAGAAGACGAGGGCAGACTCACCACTCCTAGTTTCTCGGCTGCGTTGGCTTTCCACAGTCGGATATTCATCTCGTCTGAGCCGCTCAGGATGTACTTGTTGTCTGCAGACCACTTTATACAGATGACGTGTTGCATGCGTTTGGTGTGGTACACCTCCCTAAATTTTAATTTTTAAAAGATTGCAAGGGAAACAACAGGAAGCCAGTAATTACTGTACACTGTACACCTAGAGACACTCTTCAAACCACTGATGAAGTGCATTTTATAAGCCAGCCCTCACCAAAACAACTCTTGTATTATGACAGAAGAGGGCTTACAGAAATGTGGTTACACAGCTCAGGTTTGTTGTTGTGGAGCTAGAGGTTTTTTGTGTTTATTTGTTTGTTTTTAAACAGCACCAGGTAATAAACAGGTATCATGATAATGTTTAATATCTGCTTTCTGATTACATAACAGAATTGAGCCTATAAGTAGAGTAATTAGTAACACTTGTGCTCTATCTGCTTTGATCTCACAAAAAAAGAGGGAAAGTGATGCAAAAATACTATATTTCTACTTGCTGACTACTTACTAATTGCCACGTAAGCCCTCACCAGCCCATGCTGTGATGCTGTCCGGCTGGCAGCTAATGTAACACTACTACGGCTATTTGTTCTGGAGCTTGACAACAGTACAAACAATACAGCATGTACTATTAAGTCACATAGAAACCAAACAACGGGTTTGGTTTTTTGTGGTTCATTATCAACCAGCAGCCATAATCTGCTACTGTGTTCAACACATGGCCTTTTTCACAGGGTGTGTTTGGAGCATTTTGACATTATCCTAGTAGAAAATTCACAGCTGTTATTATTACACTTGCAATTGATTTAAGTTAATGTTTAACAGATATAATAAATAATATACTCAATATTTAATCAATTCAAGCCATAAGCAAAAACACATTGATTTATTGCTGTTCCTTTTCAAAGACATTCTTCAGCTAAAGCCTTAATAGATCATTAAAGATAAAATATGAGCCAATTAACATTAGCTGTGTAACAGTTCTAAAACAGACTTAAATTGAGATATGAACATTGTATAATGTGCAATATGAGTATTGTATTATGATGTTCATAAATTATATCATGGCAGAGAGGAAGAGCCAGTAATTGCTTCATTACTGTAGCACTACCAGCTAGTAGCTTCTGGTATGTTAGCTAGCAGTGGGTAAAAATACATAGCTTATCTGAGCTGTTATCCTCACCTTCTCCTGATTTTTTCTAAATAAAGCGAATATTTTTTTGTTGCTGTTCAAACAATGTGTTTAAATGTAAAGGAAGAAGTGACACTGAAAACCTTTTTTTAATAAAATGTATAACTGTATGCTAATTAGCCAGAAGCTAATGTTATTTTGCTAAATAGCAAACTGTCAGTAGTTAGCACTACAGACATTACGCGAGAGAGAACTGGGAAGTCAAACCAATGTTGAATTCTGAAATGCTAATAATTGTTTAAATTAAACTTTTTTAAATGAGGCTTCAAAAAAAAAAAAAAAAAAAAAATCCTGACAGAGCGTTCATAAATGCTTCAACATGGTTTCCATGTGGTGAGTCCTCCTACAGGTGGATGTACTTGATTAAAGCCATAGACAATATAAAAAGGTGGATACAGCTTCTGGTTCTGAAAAGTGAAGCCATCAGGGTCCATTAGCAGTGGTTGCTTAAACACAGGCAGTCTTATGGAAGGGAAAAGGGACCACCCACTTTTTAAAATGCTCCAAATTCCCCATCCATTTTCTCCAGTCTTATCAGAAAATCCTTATATAAAGAGTTTTGACCCCAGAACCAAACTAACAATCTACAAAAGTGAATAACAAACATAAAAATGTCCTTCACCTTTCTTATCAAATTTAATCCTTTTCCTTTTTGTAGTGTTTATATGGTTAAAAACAGTGATGAATAATAATATTTTTGAATATATTTTGCAGTTTGTGTTGTGCATATAAAATGCAAAGCCCAGTTATAGATCTAGTGCAGTGCTTTGTTCCTGACCTGACATTCAGTTTTAATCAGACAGACTTGTGGTTGCAACAGAAGCACATGCCGTCATTTCAAAACTGTAGCTCATTTTATGTCTGCTTTGGATTATTACAATGTTGTGGCTCATAACCAAAAGCCCTATTGAGAATATGAATGGGATTTTTACTTCCTAAACCTCAGTGTTGAGGTTCATAGAAGTCTATGCAAAATCATTGCTCCGACTTTACCTTGGGAAACACTTCTGAGTTTACGCACTCAGTCACTCATTTTGGATAATACTGCATAAAACATTAAGTGACTTTTGTAAATTTTGGTCACCAACTTTCAAAATAAAATCATGCTTATCCAGGATATGCTCATTGGCTGACACATTTTGATTGACAAAATGCCCCAAAACACCGAAGAGAGCGAAGGTGAAAACATTCATCCTGAGGCATCAATACAGAGCTTCACAAACCAGAAGGCAACATCACGGTTGCTACATCAATTTTTTAGTTGGTCTATAATCAGGCATGGCAGTCTGGTGAGAGCTGCAGTGTTTAAAAGTCATGAAAGTAAAGAATGAACGGAAATAACATCAGAAGGATTACATCTTTTTTTTTTTTCCCAGTTATTCCCACTCAAAGGGGGTCAAAAACAAAGCTATGAACCAAACCAAATGATTATGCTATAATTTAATTAAACCACAAATTATACAGCATAGTCAACAACAGTCCAATTTTTCCTAAAACTTTGCTGGCACCATAAAGTTTGATCAGCATTACTGACCTGCTGTGTCCACCGTCCTTGGCGAAGATTCGGATGGTCTTGTCAAAGCTAGCAGACACAAACTCCTTCCCCGTGGGAGCATAGTCAACATCTAGCACAGCAGACACATGGTCCATGTGTACCATGATGGGCTTGGCCAGGTACCTCATGTCATATGTGTAGAGGCTGGTGAAAAGGAAAAAAACAAAAAACAGTTTCTATGAGCTGGAAAAAAAAAAAAAGGACCAGCTAAAATATGATTAAATCAGAGTTTCTTTCCTAGACTCACTTGTAGTCCTCATTTGCACATGTGAAGTAGTAGGCTTCCATGGGGTTCCAGCTTAGCGTGTTGCTCCTCATTGTCATGATGACCTTAAGAAGAAAGTAAGAGCAAAAAGTAGCTGATTATCATGCCGCATCCATGTAAATTAACAGGGAGATAAACAGATGCATTCCTGCACAAACTGTAAGGGAAGATTTACCTTTTTAAGTGGTGTAGATTCCCTCATGTCGTAGAGCACTATACTCCTGTCAGAGGCACAGCTTGCAAGAAGTTCAGTCTGTGGAGAGGATAACCCTTGACTTTATTTATCAGCACATGTGTTGGCTTTAAGTCGCAATAAACACCTGTGAGCTTATACGTCCAAGCAACCTTTTTCGTCACATGACTGGAGGGCGGGGCCCATGTATGTGAGATATAGCACGTGGTATCTTACCTCCACAGGGTTAAAGTGCACAGAGCTGAAGCTGTCTACACCCCAGGTGAAAGAGCGGATCGGGCTGCTCCTCTGCTCATCCCAGATGTCCACCTGCTGGCCGCACGTTGCAAATACAGGATCGTTCTGATGATGATCCAGACCTGTGTACACAGTCTACAAGGGACATTTTTTTTTCATTCATACTTCATGAATGAAGCAATTCTATGCGATGAAACAGCAAAATTATTACAGCATACTTTGCCCAGGATGGTGTTAATTGGCTCCTCTTCTTCTCCGTAGCCTGGTGATTCCATCTTCCATTGTTTGATTGTTTTGTCGTCACCGACCTGTTGCAGAAAAAGAAATCATGTTAGATGTCAGCTAATATGAAGTCAAACAATTCGGAAAAGTCTTCAAAAAGATGATCAGTTACCGTAAAGAAAGAGGTCCCACAGTAACGCACAACCATTCCCCGCACAAAACCTTCATGTGCCTGAAGCGTCCGAACGCACTCGTGTTTGGACAGATTCCACACCTTCAGCTGAAGATCAAATCCAAAAGGAGAGTCCTGTCAGTTTGCAAGAATGGCTGAGATAAAAGGAAATGCATCTCTACATACCTCCCCATCACAGGAGCCTGACAGCAGGGTGGAGAGGCTCTTTGCGTGCTTGGCCATACAGTTCACCCCATCTCTGTGACCATCCAGCGAGGCCACGAAAGGCTTGGCAAACACACGCTCCAGCTTGGTGGCGTTCAGAGCTCGAGTGTACTCCCTGCTCACCTCAAACGGATGAAGGGACGGGTCATAGTTTCTGGGGACTAAAAATACACAGCAGTCACTTCTTTATGTGCTCAAAGAAAAGAGCATTTCCATTAATTAAAAAAAAAATCCAAGCGTGCAGGTATGTTGCTGCTAACCAAGTCAAGTAACACAGACTGTTTAGGCTCCATAATAAGGAGTTTAGAAATGTGTGAAGCAAAATTTGTAATTCCGAACGTGCTAAATGCAAAGACAGCTTTGCAAAATTAGATTAAAAGCATGACTGTTGTGTCAATAGCTTTAATCAGATGCTAACACTGTAGCTCTTTCGTATGTATGCTGTTAGCTATTTAGCCGAAGAGTTTCACTTACCGCGCTGAATATCCAGTTTGGTCTCCCGGACATAATCATCCGGATTCCTTGCGATGACTTTAACTTTCATTTGGTAGCGGAGGGGCACACGCTTACAGAAAGGGAAAATTATAGCAACAAAAATATTAGCAAGTAGTGAACACACCAGCCATGTGTTGATAGTGAACAGAGACGGCGATCTCGCGTTGCATTGTGGGATGCCCGGTCCTCCTGGTTGCATCACTCACAAGTAAAGAAACGAGTACTAAAGTTACAACATTTAGAAAGAGAAGGACCGGAAATACTTTTTTCTTTTGTTTGTTTTCAGCTAAATCAAGGAAAACCAACGCCAACCTTCTGAGAAAGGTTCACGGAGACATCAAGCGACCTTTACCGAAGACACTTGAGAATAAGCTATAATAATTAAGGGCAATATTACAAAATTATGAATAAATAATAGATATAGAAAAGCCTGTAAAAGCGCTACTTAAATCAGTATTTGAATAACCAAACTGATTTTATGTAATTTATGTGGAAAACATTTTTAATATAGTTAAGTTTTATCAAAAATGTCTCCGAACCATCATACAAAATATGTCGACGTAACTAATCCTAACTTTTGTATTAGTAAAATAAATAAATGAATACAGCATATTTCATGTGTGAATTATTTTGAAGTATTTAACCGGAAGTACTATTTCAACAACGGGAACTTGTCATTACTTAATAATAACAGCAAGGTCGAGCACTGGGTCTGCGACTTGACTCTTGGAGAGTGCGTTACACCTGTGAGGTACCTCCGGATGTCAGAAACGTGGTGCGTCATTAGCGCAGGAGAGATATGAGGACGCTGTTCCGTCCTCGTACTGTATGGAAACTGCAGCAGAGTAAACGAGGGGTCGCCTCAGTTTTATAGAGAGTTACGTTTTGACACGCTGCGTGCTTGCGGTGTTGTAAACACTGCTAGCTGGTAGGATCTAGCTAGGTAGCGAAGTTGCCCATGAGCATGAGCTCCGCTCCAAATCACGGTCCCGTTTCAGAGACAGGACTGCCCGGCAAACCCGTGTCCGCTGTCTCGTTCGGCGGACGACTACAGAAGGTCTTTAGCCATGTGAAGGTAGAAAACCTGATCGCGGGACTCAGCGGGGGAGTGGTGTCAACGCTGGTGCTTCATCCTTTGGACCTGGTCAAAATCAGGTTTGCAGGTACTGCATGAAAATATGAACTTTTAAAATCAATTTCCTTAGTGTCTGATGTGTCATGCTGCTATGACTTTACTTGAATCTGCTAAGAAACTACTGCTATGATGTGTTTAATTTGTATCATATGACTTCAAGGTCCGTAATGTCTTTTAAATGCAGTAAGTGATGGACTTGAATTAAGACCGAAGTATAGTGGCATGGTGCACTGCATGAAGAGTGTCTGGCAGCAGGAGGGACTGAGGGGACTCTATCAAGGCGTGACACCCAACGTTTGGGGTGCTGGTGCATCTTGGGGCCTCTACTTCTTCTTGTACGTAAGCTATAAGCTTTAAAGAGGACATGAAACACTACACATGAAAGCTAATTTACATCATGGAGCCCTGTTCGCAAAAACTGACGTAGGTGTAACACTTTCTGTGAAGCTAGATCACTTTTGTGCTGTCCCTGGCTGTTACAATGAGTTTTATGTTAAGAAACCGAGGATGTACTGTCCACTTTCACTGTCTGACTCTTTAGCAGTAAGTGGCTGCTTGTTGTTTTGTTAGCTGCACTGAAACTGGAGAATCTAGCTGTTAGCCGTAATGTTCGGGTTTGTACAACACCCTATGAATGAAAAAAGCAGCATGTATGATTTTACAACTGCAAGATGTCTTATTGCCCTTGCCCTGTTCCCTCACAGCTACAACGCAATCAAAGGGTACACAAAGGAAGGTCGTCAGGCTGAACTGAGTGCCACAGAACACCTGGTGTCAGCGGCTGAAGCTGGTTAGTACTACCCGTGTTTGAACACTGCTGCACTCCCCCACCATATAATCAGCACATGATCAATAACAGCAGCTAGATATGACTGCTACAAGCTGGTAGTAACTGACAGGGAGTTAGTTACTTGTGGTTCAGGGCAGCCTTACATGCTTGTGTGAATGGGGGAAACGAAGGCATTTACAGCCTTCACAAGATTTTCAATGGAAATAAATTGAAGAAGCCGATGACAGGGAGGTTTTATAGCTACCATCAACAGTATAAAAATGAAACCAAAACAGATGTTTTATTGATTTGATCTTGTGATTTTTATTTTTATTTTTTTATTTTTTTCTTTCCTGCCATCAGGCACTTACACCATTCTAATGGGAAGGTTAGAATGATACCTGGGTGGCATTAAAGAGCCTAATGCACAAATGCACTCTGTTGCGCTTCTTGTTCAGTTTGGTGACACGGTGAGCTAATTCCAAACTGTGTTGTGCACAAACAGCTGGGCATTTGTGTGAGATCTCTAGCACAACTTCAAATAGGTCTTTTTTCCTGTACCACTTTAAAGTCAGGAAGTCCTTGGTCCTGTTCGTCAAGTCATAGATATTGAGTTATAGTAAATGACTCTTCACTGAGGGGCCTGTGTGCTAATCATGGGTCTAACAAAGTAATAGAAGTCACATGTGTTTCCTAGTGACATTTCCTTTCTTGTCCTTGCCTAGGCATCCTCACGCTCACCCTTACCAATCCAATCTGGGTGACCAAGACCCGGTTGGTGCTGCAGTACAGTGCTGACCGAAATGGCAAGCAGTACAAGGGGATGTTTGATGCTTTGGTTAAGATTTACCGCCATGAAGGAGTGTCTGGACTCTACAAGGTGAGACATGAGTGTGTTAGTGTTCCTTATGATGTAAGATTGCATGGTTAGCAAGTTTAAACATTTGGGAGGGGTGGCTTAAACTGGGAGATTTTTCTACACCTGTTAATGCCAGAATGTTTTAGTAGTCTTTATTACTTCCAAATATTTATTCTCAACTTTCCTTCTTTAAAATATTATCCCTGTTGAGTAACACTCACAGACATAATTTCCTCGTCCATGCTCCTTTGTGTCTGCCTCGTCCCAGATGGTGAGATTCAGTGTAACAAGTTGATAACCCTCATTTGTGGCAGCTTTTCTGTCATTTGTTTGGTTCAGCTTAAACATGCATACCCACTCATGAAGAAATCACAGGCATCTCAGCTTTGTTACTGAAATGGCACACTAGCAACAATTCCTTAAAGACCTGACAAAAAAAGTAGCCCACTGTGGTTTTCAGACTACCTGTTGGTGGCAGAGGAGAGACTGTGCTGTCGCTCGCTTAGATACCAACATGGTGTGTTTGTGTGTGTGGTGGGGATCATTAGGTTTACCACCAAACATTCAGTGGAGATTAGGACTCATATTTCATATTCAGATTTTGGGAGTAAGTACACTCATTGTTAAAGAAAGAAGGCTCGGCCCTGGTGCAGCTTTTGTTGGTTTACTGAGTGATGTCCTGGCATGTTTTCTTTTTGAATTATTTAGCTTTTTTCATGTTTCTAAGTGGGGAGACAAATTAATGTGTTCTGAATATCCCATCAGATCTCACTTTTGCTTATTTTGATAGGAATACTGAAGACCTCGTAGGCGCTATTGACTTTAATCACCACTAGAGGGCATCAGCTACCTTTCTAGCTGGAAAAAAACACAACCCATTTATACAGGAGTGGAGGTTTTAAGCAGTATGTCAGCTTCTTCATTAACAATATTGAATTGTAATTTGCTGTCGGAAATGTTATGCCTAAAGTTCAAGAGAAAATAGGGCCAAGGGCCCTTAATTTAATTAAGTTCATTTTCATTTATATAACGCTAAATCACAACAACAGTCACTTCAAGGCTCTTAATATTGTAAGGTATAAACCCTACAGTAAAAACCACAACAATCAGATGACCCCCTATAGCAGGGGTCCCCAATCCCAGTCCACGAGGGCCGGTGTCCCCGCAGGTTTTAGATCTCACCCTGGGTCAACACACCCAAATCACATGATTAGTTCATTACCAGGCCTCTGGAGAACTTCAAGACAGTTGAGACGGTAATTTATCCATTAAAATCAGCTGTGATGGATCAAGGACACATCTAAAACCTGCAGGGACACCGGCCCTCGTGAACTGGGATTGGGGACCCCTACCCTATAGCAACCAGTTGGTGACAGTGGCAAGGAAAAACTCCCCTTAACAGAAACCTCCAGCGGAACCAGGTTCACTAAGGGGAGACAAGACAAAAGACACACTGTGGAAGAGAGCCAGAGATTAATACGAACTAATGATTAAATGCAGAGGGGTGTATAAACACACAGAGAGTAAAGAGATGGGGAGTCACAGATGTGTGGGCTTTTCAGTGGATAAGTCACACTGTGGGAATTTGAGTGTCAAGTCAGACCGACTTACAGAGTATGTCTTTAAAAGGGTTATGTTCCCGGTCTGCTCGGCACGTCTCATGGAGCACTGCAGTTCATGACTTACGAAGAGCTCAAGAGAGACTACAACAAATACAGAAAAGCACATTCAGACGCAAAGCTGGTGAGTCACTAACCATGAGCCACAGACAGGCTGGAAACATTGTTTAATAAAACTCAGCCATAAGGCTTGTAACTTTTGAGTCTAATGAGACAGAGCCCACAGTTGATAACAAGTGACTCATCAGTTTTCCTACACTGCTCTGCTCCCTTCTTCCTCCTTCCATTTATCTGTCTGTGCAAACAGAACCCATTGGAATACATCACAATGGCAGCATTATCCAAAATATTTGCCGTGGCCACAACATACCCATATCAAGTGGTGCGAGCTCGCCTGCAAGACCAGCACAATAGATACAATGGAGTTATTGACGTCGTGAGACGGACATGGAGGTAAGACACCGATCCACTCACAGTGGGACCGAGCATGCCGGCCCCGTCTCAGGTTCTGAGCACAGTTCGAGTGCATGTTATGATTGATGCTTAACATTTTCCCACTTGTCTCCTCAGGAATGAAGGTACCCTTGGTTTCTACAAAGGCATCATCCCCAACTTGATCCGCGTCACCCCAGCCTGTTGCATCACCTTCGTGGTTTACGAGAACGTGTCTCACTTTTTTCTCGGGCAAAATAAATGAGATTTTAAAAGCAGGGCACGGACTGCCCCGAAGGCTGCAAACTCGTGCTGACACGTTGGCGCCGTGCGGAGGAGATGCAGGGGAGGACCGTGTTGATCGACGCCGAGCTGTCGTCGTCCAGTACGTGTAAATGTGCTGAAGTGAAAATCACTCATGTGCACTGAAAATAAGTGTTGCCAAATGGAGCAGCAACAGTTTTTTTTTTTTCAATAAAACTTCCTGACAGTTGGTGAAAAATGGCAGACGCACAATGAAGTTATAGGGAGCATGTCTGTTGCTGTTCACCTTTATGGGGACAATGTTGCTTTAACAGTTTGTTTTTGTTTGTTTTTTTTAAATACTGGTAGTGTGAGGGTCTTTTCTAAAGAGGTGGATGAATATTTCATCATGCAGCAGTTTGGTTTACACTTTATGCTTTCTGGCAACAGAGAGATACAGTCTCAACTATAAAACTATGAAAAACTTCATTATAAACATCAAATTCATGATCGGCTCAGGTTCAGATGTTGCAGATGTGTGAAATGATTTGCCTGATGAGTGCTTTTTTTTTTTTTTTTTTTCCCTGACGTTTTTGTGTCATTGTATCTGCTGTGCTGTATATGATTTTATTATAAAATCTAAAATGTGCTTTAAATGCAGTCTTATGCCTGATTCATGTGAATACATTAAATGTTACTTTGTTGTTACACAGGCAATAAATATGCAGTGTTTCAGAAGTGAGAAGTAACATTTCCTTAAAAAAGAAGTGCTTTATTAACAGTGATAATGCATATAAACAGGTCACAGGAGTACAGAGTTTAAAGGTACTGTCCATGTCTGTTGCTGTACTCTTAACGGCAGCCACAAGCTGAAAAAGCTACAGTACAAAGTTTATTTCCGGTAGACAGAAAAGTACAGTAATCGTAGGCCTGTCGACGGGTGTAGCATTTAAACAAAACTCAAAAACATTCACGTTCCCATCAGTGACGCCTCAGCAAACCACACCTGATCGTTGTGGCGCGTCGGATAACATGCTGTCACGCTACCAAAACTAGGTCCCTCCCAATCGTATTGCTTTATTTTCCTTACTTAGGCAATTCCTCTATGATAATCCTGGATACGGAATTCCAGCCTGTGGATGCGTCTCCTCTTGGATAATCAGCGCAGGTCCCCACCCACACCGCCACATCAACCAGCCCTGCTTTGACACCCTCACACAGCCCCTCAACTGCAGAGAGAGAGACGGAGAGGGAAAAAAAGAGAAGACGGTGCAAATGAATTTCAGGGAACACCCAAACCGAACGCCGAGACAAGTTGTTTTCTGACACAGCGGTGAAAAACTGGGCCTTTCAGGTTTAAAAAAAAAGAAATAAAAAATAATTAAAACCATGTAATCTTTCATGTCTGCAGTCAACACTATTGTCATGTCTGTGCAGTTCATATAAGGCTGTTCATTAGCTTAGCTTAAAAGGACTGAAGCTGGGGTGGAGCCAGCCTCACTTTCTAAAAGTCCCAAAGCAAAAAAGGGTGATAAATTGTGAGCTGTGGCTTCTTCACTTCCTCCATGAACAATTTGAGGAGCAGAAACTTGATGCTCTCAACTGTTGTTTCAGTTGATAACCCCGTATAATAACCCAGTCTTTTCTTAAAAAAACCCCAAAAAACTTTAACCCTTCAAAACCTGCAGCTGAGACAGGTTGTCCCAACATGTTTTTGGCTGTAAATCTCACACACAGTCTGTGTGTGAGGCACATGAATCCAATGCTCTAATACTGTGAATCTGAGAAGTGAACTGTTCTACACATCTATACAAGCCCTTTTGGGCACTTTCCAGAAAAAGTCTCCAGGTGTTCATCTCTCAGTTTCTGAAAGAACTGGAGCTGCTGTTACTCGCCCAAATCGCAGTAAAGAAGGGGGCTTGGTTTGCCATGTCAGCCTTGGCACATCAGGTCGCAGAAGGCTAATAAACAACATTTAATGTATTAAAAATACATTAAATGTATTTTTACAAGAAATGGGAGAAACTAGCTGTTTCCCCCGTTTCTTGACTTTGTTGTAGCCTAACTAGTTGCTGGAGTGTGCACACAGTTTTCATTTTAGTGTAAAAAACAAAACAAAACATGAATTGGTCTGAAGTACAGTTAAAAATGTAAACTACAAAATCTAAGCGTCCTTATGTCCTTCATGTGAACCACTGGATTTAATTACTGCTTGGACTTTTTTCTCTCTTTTTATGGTGGGAAGCAACAGTTTCTAGCAGCAGCAACAGACTAAACAATGTTCAACAGGAAATTCGTGTCACTCTTCACACAACTGCTTCTCAGGACGTCTGTTGTGAACGGCTCTCTTGAGGTTATTCCTATCTTTAAGTTCTGTCCTCTGACTTGGTTTCTCTAAAAGGTGGATTTTCTTTGAAGACATTCTTCACTAGCTTGACTTTGATGTTTAAAGTTATTGCTCCAGCCAGCATGGTGAGCTGTGCAGGCCCAGAGGCAGCAGAAGAGCTCTAAGACATCATGGTGCCACCACCCTGCTTTCACCTTTGGAGCCTCCAATCTAGTGTCACTAATTGGAATAATTGGTAACTCCTGGCTCCAACTCTGATGATGCCATCAGCCGAGGGCTTGGAAGTCAAACCTGTTGATCTTAAGTGAGCCTGACCAGTGGAATTCCCATTTCTGTCAGTGTAAAGAAGTTTAATTGCACGTTTGATCCCCAAGATATGTTAAAATAAGAAAAGGAAGCACAGCTTTAACAGGTAATCTTAGTTTTTTCTTTTTCTACGTGATAAAGAAATGCTTCTGTAACGGAAGAGAAAAACCTGTCAGCACAATTCTTCAGGCTAAAGTGTAAGAGATGGACATGTTAAATAGAAAATGTTCTTTTTTTATATTATGTATCATCATTTTGGGGTTTTTTGTAAAGAAATTTCTACAGTTGACTGTGAAAAATGTTTTTTTAAATCCTATAGCTAATGACTTTGGTGTAGCATGAATGGCCATGGGGGAGGTCTTTATCAGTACTGATAAACCTGTAAAACTTATGAAAATACAGTTAAAAATCCAAAACTTTTGCCTTTCTTCACATTTTCCAAAGCTGTGAAATAGGACCAGATTTGAGTCTTTACTGGGCTGATTCTGGCTCCTGGGCCTTATGTTTGACACTCTTGGCTTAGGGGTTCATTGCTTTTCCTAACATGAACGAAAAGAGTGCAACTATTCATGTGTTATGAGCTAAAATATTTTGTGCTTGTTCATAATTAGGACTTGGATGAAGACCTGACATTAATACAGGAAATTCCACTTCACTTAATGTTTCTTTCCATAGCATTACTAGCACCGTGAGGTGGGAACAAGTATTGTTCAGAGTCTGTGTCGTACCTGAGGAAGTTCTGTGGATGTTGATGGTTGAGTTGAGCTCGGGACTCCCTTGGTCTAAGTAAATAATTGACTCTATGGGCAGTGGTCCTGTGCACTCCGCTCCGTTGAAGGTGAAGTACCACCTCTGGCAGCATGCGTTTTTACACTTGAGTCTGAGGGAGCCACTGAAGAGGACTCTGAGGGCGCTGTCAGAGCGCAGCTTGGTGAAGGTGCAGTCCTGCGACGCAGAATGGAGCATAAGTGTGTGTTTAATGTGTGTTTGCAGTGATTGAAATGCCTGCATTCCCCACAGATACAGTGAGATACTTACAGCCACTTTACCCAGATCGATCCCGTAGTTCAGCGAGTTCCAGGCACACTGCTTGTAGTTGGGTTTCCAGGGTTCCTCAAAAACTTCAGTAACGCATTCTCCTTTCTCGCCTTTCAGTCCATCGCGGCCTGGGATACCAGGCGTCCCAGGAATACCGTTGGCCCCAGGGTTACCGTCTCTTCCAGCGGTGCCTGCTGGACCCTGCAGGCAGCTGCCATACTGAAAAAAGAAACAAGGAGAAGAGGACATAGTGAAACAAAACCATACTACAACAACATGATAACAACAGAATCTATTGTTATCAGACTTCCTGTTTTAAGACTGTCTTTCTTCCAGTGAGGTTAAATCCCTGTTTAAACTGCATGCACCACAGACACCTAAATGCTGCCATCCATCCAACCATCACACACAAGGAGCCAGATTACACATCACACAAACAACTGTGCTGAAGGAAGTGCAAAAAGCCGTGTTATCCAAATCAAGCCAAAGCAACATGACCAACAACCATGAAGCCGCCGAGCAAGCAAAACACAGCTCTGCTGTTAATGAGGAACTGAAGGCTCGGCAGTGGCCTAAATTAGTGGCTGTCTGGCCACTCATCCCTTAATGTGATTCATTGTCCTGTTGAACCTTCTGCTATGTTTAAACAGACGCAGCATCCTACTCAGGCTGACTCAAACCCACGCAAACACACACACACAGACGGGGGGGGGGGGCGCTTGCCAAGCCTTACCACATGCAAATATAGACACAATGAGGATCTAAATAGATCTGCCTAACGTGTTCCTCAAAGGGACGCTCTGACCAGTAGATTGCAGTGTGTCGTGTAGGTTCAAGCTTTTTTTAGGTGGAGGTGGCTTTTCCTTTGTAAGCAATTAGGGACACATGTTGACATACAGAAATGTCTCCTCGCCCTTAAGTAAGCATGAAAGCTGAAAGTATTTTGCAGATTTTTGGAAGGTCGTTGTTGCCCTTTTGCTCAGTATGCATCTGTGAAGTAGTTATGGAGAGTAGGAGGGGGGCATGTGTCCAAAAGGCATTAGGGCAAGAAAAAAAAAAGCAGAGGAGGAGAACAAAGAGCTTTTACACCAACATCTTAACCAGACTTAACCAGATTTGAATCTCTGGGGTGAAGTTAAAAAAAAAAGTATTTCAGATGATGTAAATCTGAAAAATGCCTGGAAGTTAGAGAGTCAGAGCATTTATCGTCAGCTGCTGTGAAACAGATGGTCCAGTGTCTGTTTTAGCCATTACGCGGCTAACGCTGGAGCAACCTGGAGATGTGAGACCTGACATCATCTGTATAGAAGTCTGGGAAGTGTCTGGTGACAGCAGTAGATTGTGGGTTTGTATGCATGAAACTAAATAAAGCTGGAAGCATGGCTTTCATGCACCTTGGCAAAATAAGGTGGCAAAACATGGAAACGATGCAAGGACTCCCCATTAGTCTTGGAGTTGGGTAGATATTCCAGTAAGGAAAAAGTCTTGGTGTTTTACTAAGATTTTTGGAGAGCTTTCAAAGCAGAGTAATGAATGGATCCTCTGTCCACTTCGCCACACAGCTGACTTTTATATTAGCTCCCAGTCTGCTCTTTCTATAGTGCTGCTGGCTGCCTGCATGAATTACACTCCAGCCCTGCTGAATATTAGTCGCGTACAGTCTGCTACTGTAACTGGAAAACTAAAAGGCTGCAATTGCCCCGAAGAGCTGAGGAATCAGGAGCATTTTATGCGTTAGTCAACACAGAAGCAGGGCCTGAAGCTCTCCTGGAGCATGCAGAGCAGAGCCTGGGTATAATGCTCCGCTTTGAGCGATTTTTAGATTGAAAGGAAGCCGATGAGATGCAAAGCAGTATTTTCGTGATTACCATGTTGGCCAAGTAAGCAGATCTTTCTTCTCCAGAGTGTCTAGTGCAGTTGGGTTTCTCGGCATCGTTTCCAGTGCACTAGACACAGATGGTGACATAAGTTTTTTTTTTTCCTTTCTTCTTTTTTTAAATTAAATCACTGTGGTCACGGTTGTGGAATATTAAAGAGAAACTGCTTGGGCGGGCTCGACAGGGTCCAGAAAAATAAATACTAGTTTCACTTCTGTTTGATTCCTAAAAGATTCAACATCTGTGTGTCCAGTTGGTTCCTTCAATCACTAAACAGATGCATCATTGAGGGTTATGAAATCCTATGCATAAACAATATAAGATTGATAGGTATCGTGGGACTGTGAAATTAAACAGTTGAACTCTGCCTTGGGCACTGTTAAAAATATCATATTACCCAGCTTTAAACGTACATTTAAGTTTTTTGCCCAAATTGCACCCACTTATAAACTATTCAAACAGTCGGATGGATAACAAAGGCCAGCAAACAGTATGAGGCAGACCACAACTTCCTGTTTAGTCCCCCCTTATGTCCACTCAGTCGTGGAGGACAGCCAGATCTGGTCTGGAGTAATAGAAAAGCAGCTGAGTGTATAACAGCTACAAAGTGGGATTTTCTGATCTGCTGCTGTCCACACTATTCTACATGTGGATAAATCTTTTAAAACATTTTTTCCTTCCCTCTAATGTTTAAAGATACAATTTAAAAATAGCAATGCATAGCGCTAGAAAAAAGAAGCCCAGAATGAGTTGGAAAAATAGGCAAAATAGTCAGTGGATGTTAAATGGGATGCACCGAAAAACAACTAAATGACGGTAAAGCTGAGTGTAATAATCACATGTTGACGTGAGCCTTTTTTCTCTCTCCCAGAGTTATAATGCCACAAAATCTGTCCACTCCTCTCCTGCCACATGTCTACTTATTTTGGAAGCTGTCGTTAACGGCTACACGGTAATCTTATCTAACCCCTTTTACCTTGTCGGCGTCAGGATCCTTTCGGTAGCCTCTGCTTCTCACCTTTTCCACCGCATAAAGAGGCAAAGCCAGGCAGGCGAGCAGCAGCAGGCGGACAGCGAGAGGAGACATCACGCGTGCGACAGAGACGGCCGACTACCGTGCGCTCTGCGCGACTCCAGCCGGTTATAGCCCAGAGGGCTGGACCAGGAGAGGGGGAAGGAGCCAGTCACCTCACTGAAATGCACTTTAGGGAAAACATAGCTGTGAGAGTAACGTTAGGGTTAATAACTGACTCACACACAGTCACATTCATTTCCATGTTTAATTGAATATTTTATCAAAATGAAACAACAGTGGTAGAAAATTGTATTAAAAAGAAAAAAAAGTTCACAAAAATGTTTGGAGTACTGATAAGACTACAGTAGAGCTACATACGTCATAAGAAAGACCCTCATCCACATGTCAGAATAGGAACATAACATAGAAAACATACAAGATTCCCTTTTAGTGTTACTGGAACTGTCCTTTCACTCCCAAATAAATCTATGTAAGTGAACTGAGGGGTAGCTCGGTCCCTTACACAGCACACAGACAGCACAGAAAGGCACTCCTAATGAATCACAGATGTTGTTCTGGAGGTACTTGAAGTAGAGATGCTGCATGTGGTCTTTTTTTTATTTTAACAAAAATGATCCCAAAACTAATCTTTCTATTTATTTATGACAACTTAGTAATCAGTGGATAATGCTACTAATGACAAATAGTGCAAAACTTGTTTTGTTTCGTCGATTTCATACACTGTTGATACTATAGGGATATCGTGATAACTATATATAACCCTGGTATCAGAAAATGAAATATCATGATTATGGTTTTACAGAAATAAAACATTCCCCCACCATGTCCATGCACTCGTACTTTCAGTTTAAATGCACGCTCCAATCTTAATTTCTGCCTTTAAGTTTTAAAAAAACATGAACTCATGCATTAGATTTTCAATCATTTCCAACTAATCAATTTAGTAAAAAATTGAACTTAAAGGTGCTCTTTCATCAATATTCCAAAACAGAAAAGTAACACAGTAATAAAAAGTAAAGATGAACTTGATCGATAGTATTATTGAAATAAGTCAAGTTCATTTTGTTCATTTTCTGTTGGTATTTCAATGATGTCATAGATTTCTCTAGTCACAGTAACTATGAAGTAAAACTCAGATATCATGATAAGATTTTCTAAGCAAAAATACATTCTTTTAGAAAGCTTCAAAGCTGTATTTCACCAAAATTCACAGCTTTGAAGACAGTTCAGCACAGCATGCATTTCTGTAACAAAAACATGGAGAAATGACCAGAAAATGGAAAAATATATGTCTCTTTTAAGAAAAGTATTCAAAATAAAATCACAAGTTCTCTGAAAATCAGCTATATCAAGTTTAAGAGTACGCCTCAAAGGAGTGACACACAGTGTGTTTTACAGGATGACGTTTTAAGAACAATAGGACATTTAAAGACACTTTATCACAGGAAGACTTTCCTTGGATTCAATATTTGGCAATATTTTCACCTTAACAATTAAACTCTCAGTGTGGCGACCAGTCCAGTGAACGACTAAATATATGAGATATAAAAAAAGAGAATATTTACATAAATATTGCAATCGTTTACTAGCATGCATATATGCCACTGAAATCACAAGTTATAAAACAGCAGACTCAATGCATGTAGCTGTGCTGCTGCAACATTCAGGTCAAACACTGAGTAAAGCTGGAAGACAAAGTCATGACTTAAACAGACTAAATCGTCAAACACCGTTAGATGTGGGCTAACCCTCAGAACATCTGAAATACAAGTTTTGGTCTGTTTCCATTCAGTCACTCCAGTGTATTCAATAAAATCCCACAATGGGAACAACAACCAGCATCAAGCATGACTCCTATGTGACTGGTGTCATGGATGGGTGGATGGATGAGCAGACAAATTTGAAAGGTCAGATATCTCAGCAGCTGCTGTCCTTTGGGTCCTTGCTCTCCTCAGGCACCTGGAGCACCATCTGGTGGCTGGCGTCTTGGAGGCTGCTGGTGTGTGCTGGGTTTAAAGCTGAAAGCTGTTGCTTCTCACAGGGAATGTGCCTGACCTCTGATAGCTCGCTCCTTGGAGTTGCCCTAAAACCAGCCAGGACACATCACAGATTACTGCTGGTTAATGCTTGTCTGATGTTACAGTGCATGTAATGTAAGGAACTGTACATATACAATCAATTTTTTAACATTTCAAAAATGGCATCTCACACCTCTCCTACTAACCTCCCATCTGCCACTCTGTGCAAGCTCTCTGAGCGACTGCTGACTTTACTGGAGCTCCCCGTTTTGCTGCGTCTCTCCCCCCCATCCCTCTCTCTTTCCCTATCTCTCTCCCCTCTCCTCGAGCTTCGACTGGAGGTGCCTCGGTCCAGGTGTTCCCTGGCTGAGGTCTCAGACAGTGAACCTTGCATGTGGGGCTCATGGTTGCCTAAGGCAGAGGTGCCTTGATTGCTGGTGGTGGAGACACTGGTGGGCGTGACTCCGGTACTCGTGCCCATGGACTTGGAGATGACCTTGAGTTTGTGGGAGCTTGGTTTGTAGTGCTTCTTCTTGTGCTGAACCCGGTTGTTGTGCTTTAGGAAGAACTCGCAGGACTCCTGGAGCACCCGACGGCTCTCGCTGATGGGGCTGTGGGTCACATGACATGGCATTAAACACATAACAGCTGATCTAGAATACTGTATTCTCACTCCATCAGTGACTGTGTGAAAGATCTTCCACGTGTTTTGCTGTGGTCAGAGTTGTGTCTTACTCTTTATTGCGGGTCCTGTTGAAAAAGTAGGCCCACTCAGAGCAGGTCTTCTTACTGCTGACCCAGAATACTGCAGATATGCCAACCACCAATGTCATCAAGTATTTCACCAGAAACAGGGAGAGGTCAGGGCGTTCATGATCTGTGGTCTAAAACAGTAACAAACTCAATGGTAATGAGATCCTTGTGATTTAGAGCAACTGGTTAAATAAAAAAATTCAATTTCTTACTTAAGACAAAGTCAAGCATTTCCAGTACAGGCATCAGGTACTGACTGTCAAAACAAGACTAAGCTATTTCCCACTGCAGCGCTTATAAGCTCACGTATTGTATCTTCCACATACCATACAGATATCCACTGATGTATAATTCTTGCGCTACTAAAGCACTTCTAATGAATTTGGACCACACAACCAAATGACCGAACATGGGCACTACATGCTGTATGAAACAACGACAGGACAAAGACCTGGCCACTGAAATATCTGAAGGTGTGCAGCAGACTGCTTGGGAAATACAGTCGTCCTCCACCAGTTCCTGAGCTTGGAGAGACTCCTGTTGGAAAACCTTGAATTTTGGTCGCTCCTAAACAGAAGTCCGAACAAACTGGTGCTCAACTGGCTTGATGGAGGAAAAAATGGTTAATAACGTCCATATGTTTTGGACTTGCACCTTTATGTTTTGGGGATTTGTGGGAATTATTTCTAAAGTCTTTTGCTTTAATGTTTGCAGAAGTTTGACATTACTTTATGGTGGATACACCCCCATTACAAGATGCTGTGTTAGTGTTAATGTTGTCAAACATATCCTGAGACATGACATATTGTATACGGCTCCAAAGAGAATTGTGAGAGTAAAAGAGGGAGAAATAGTGTGCTTATTTGGCCCTTGAGACAAACTGATGATGCCAATTTTTTCTCCCCACCATCTTTTTTAAAATTTATAACCCTGCATTAAATTGTGATTCATCTAAAGACCTCTTATTCTTTGTTTAGTTTATTAATTATATTTAATAAATTAAAGAAAACTCATGTATTCTGCACTACATTTTTGAGGTACCGCAGCTTCTAAGACGTCTGTTACTTCCACACTGATCTGTCATAACAGTCTTGATTTTGGAATCCCTGTACTCTGCAGGACATTATAGATATTTAATAATTGGGATTTTTAAACAGATGAGCCTTTTGGATCCTTTTGAGCCCTTATCAGTTTTATGAAATTTTCACTGTGCTTTGGTTTTGCCCTTTTTCAGCAGTCTAAAAAAGCTTGTCCTAAACTTTCACCCCATCTTTACTGAATGAATAAGTCACAACAACCTGGTTTAAGCAGGGGATGCTATACTCCTGGCAGCGGTCGTTTATCCAGGTGTTCTCCCAGCTGCTGCGGTGGCTCTGTTCGTAGGTGTAGCAGGCTAGCAGGGTGACCAGCGGGACCAGGTAGAGGCAGCTGAACACGCCGATGCGAATCATGAATTTCTTAAGCTTCTCCTGGTTGCGCTCGTCGTGCTGGATGACCTGTCGGACGTGATTCAGAGAAACGATACCTGCCAGGATGAGGAAGAGGCCGACTATGACGCCCACGCACAGTGGCGCCAATACAAAGTAGCGCAGTGCATCCAGGTCGTAGAGCCCCACAAAACAGACACCGCTGATGTTGTCTCCTTCAACTTTGTTTAGAGCCAGCAGCATGACAGTGAGTGCCCCAGGGATCCCCCAGGCAGCAGAGTGGAACCACACCTTAGACAAAATAAAAATATTGACTGAGCTGTAACTGCACATATTTCCTTGTTGTGTTTGCTTCCTATTTGCTACTAGGAAACAAACCTAAATACTTAAGAACCTTACCGCTTTCTTCTCAATGGCCTCACAGCTCCACTTGGGGCCGGCTGCCAGGAACCAGGTGATGGTGAGTATAACCCACCAGACGATACCGGCGATGGAGAAGAAGTAGAGAAGCATAAAAAGCAGAGTGCAGCCTTTGCTCTGAGAGCCCAGCACCACTGTGTCAACCCCAGCAGGATGGGCCGCTTTGATGCAGGCTGCATTGTTTCCCAGCAGGAAGCCGATGAAGTATATGAGCGAGACAAAGCTATAGCACACAGCATAGAAGATTATGGGCCGCTCTGGGTAACGGAAGCGTTTGACGTCAATAAGGAATGTGAGGAAGGTGAAGAGTGTAGCACCCAGGCAGATGATGGAGCACACACCGATGAAGCTCTTTGCAAATTCTATATCATGGGGTTTGAAGTACATGTTGGAGCAAGGTGGAGCACAGTCCTGGGCGCCTAGGAATGATGAGCCATGACCTGGCTTGGTCTTTAGCTGCAATGGGCACCAGAAGCCCAGCTCTCTCTTAGCGGAT